TAAGCTTTGTTGGGGGTGCTGAGGTTGACAATGAGTTGAACAGGAGAACAGGTTTTGTGCCACAGTCCAGCTCCTTGTACTGTTCACATATTACTTTAGTTAGTTCTGAGAAACAGGAAAGTGGAGTTACCTGTTAAAAATTGTAACTAAAATGGCAAGTAACTAATTCCAAGGCCTCAAAATTGTAGTTCTGCGTTTGGCGACACAATTGGTGCTAATGTACAGCTTATTTAAAGTGATGATCCTTACCTATCAGATAGATAAAAGACAATGATTTTTTTAAAAAATCAAATTGATTCAAACCATGATTTAATTTTTTAAAATCTTTTTTATTTAAATAATGATTTAAAATCATTTTGATTTAAATCAAACCCATCCTGGTACCTACCCAGTGCAAACTGTCAAAGGATCCTCTGGGCAGGGAGAACTAAGAAAGCAGCTGAGGACAGGAACAAGCTTTGCTTACCGCCCTTCACTAAGGCTTGTCCAGCTGCAGGCTGTAAGAAAGCCCCACCAGCTGCACAAAGTACAAGTGGTATTTGTTTCTCTTATATGCTCGCTTTGGCCCAATACCTCTCCTTTCCAAAAAGGTCTGTGTCACATAAAACTGATGGAGTTTAAGGCACTATAATAAAACTCAAATGTTTAATTTACATTAAAAACATGTCTTGGGTACCAAGTTCTCTCTTAATAGCCCCCAGTCTCAGGAGCTTTCGTTGTCAACAACAGTCAACCCCCCCATGGGGCAAAACTGCCAATTAAACTGGAACGCCTGACTCCTGTTTACTCTGGCAATTAGAAAAATAAGCTGAAAAACAAGTTATAAAATGCAATCTATATACTGCATAATCTATAGGCTACACTTCCATCCAGATAGGATACTCAAAATGGACTCTACTCTACAAGTCCATACATGTTCGTACTGTAAGCCAAACAGGTAACTACTATAATCTCCATTTCATTCTAAACCTAGCCAGCAATAATGCTCCAGACTTCAAAAGCCTTCCTAGAAAACTGTCTTCAGTTCAGAGGACACACAAGGTTAACCTGTAAGGTGCCACAAAGACCATTTTAATGGGTTATTTAATGGCACAGCAAAGACAGTAGGAAGGCAGGCGTGGCATATTTTAGAAAGATTAAAAAGATAAGGGAGAAGACCTAGTTCTAGACTGAATAACAAAGGAAGTCCTTGTAGAGATAAAAATATCAACCTAAATTATCTATACAAAAGATTAACCTAAATAATCTTGGGTATCTGGAAATATTGACCTAAATTATTTATAAAGAAAGCTATGAACTGGCATAAAACTGAGACGTAATCCAAAACCAAGTGAGATTTATCTACAAACCTTGTAAAAACCCAAACTATATGAATACACTGTATCTTAATATATAATTAAATTAGAAACAATCTCTGAGTCGTTACACAAAGCTATACTATCACACATTTTCTTTACAACAAGCAGACAAAAGTTTTAAATAAAACCTTTTGATAAATCCCATTTAATTTTTTTAAAAATATGATACAAGTTTTAAAAATCTGGTTTTAATTGATTTTTATCCACCTTGCCTGGAAGCTAGCATATAATCAGTTTGCAACTGGGTGAGTTTTAACTAGGTCTTTCCAGCTGATAGTCCAAAATAAATACAACATAATTTGGGGGGTACTGTTCAAACAAGGAGTCCTATTGTTCTAATTACCCTACTATTTTCTATTATTGATTTCTGTCTTCATCTACACACACATATATTTTAAATACTGTTTTAATATTAATGTTGGTTTGTCTATTATTGTAACTGCCTGGTATTTGCCTTCTTTATGAAACACAGATCTTGATCTATCGAGCAGAGATGATTTCATATGCTAGGATATTACTTAACAGCATTACACCTAGAGATGGGCAACACGCAGGGGGTGGGAAAGAGAAGACAGCAGGGAAGAAGAGAAGGATAAAACAACATTATTTCCAGCGCAAGAAGATGACTAAGCATATGATTAACACCAACTTCAAGCCTTCACTAACCCATTTATTGTTGCAAAAATAAAACACTTTTCCCCTGCTCACATTGTTGCAGGATAATTTCTTTCTTTTCCAAGGGCCATCTATCTTTTTTCTAACAGGCCAGAGGAAGGAAATCTGCATGCAGTAAAGAAAAGAAATGCTCACGATTACTAATAAAAACTGGAAAAGAATCAGACTGAAAAGGAAGCCTCACCCTAAAACTGCACATAAATTCAGAACACATCCAAGTGGTTTTGGCATCTCAAAGAAACAAGCACATAATATGGTTCAGATTTCTTTGCCCTTGGAAATTCACTTTTAGAGGTACCCATAACACTGACTTTGTGGCCACTATCTCAGTGATTAGGGGGTATCAGGTGATCATCTTTGAACTGCTTGCGGTGTACTGAGAGGGCAGAGTTTAAGTCCTTCAGGCCTGACATAAATGTGTAACTCTTGTATACAAAATAAAAGTTCGCCATTACATGGGCGGAGTATAAATCCCATACATAAATAACAACTTAAGCCAGAAAGGTAACAGCCTTACTCTGAAACAAAATCAGAGTAACAATAGCCAGGGCCGCTACTCTAAAGGAATCAGTATCGCTTAAGGAAACAAAAAGAAATAATCCTGGAGATTTTAATAGGGAGCTCCAAGATTCTTTTGCCAACATTATATGAAGGGGGGGGAAAGCAGGAATAACTTTAGCCAGAGTTGGAAAATGGGACTGAGAAGGCCTGCCCCCCCTCTTCTGTACAGAAGGAAATGGTATAAAACAGAGGCCCTAATCCAAGAACTGCTGGACCCTATTTACAAAATGTTTTTTTTTTAAATGATAGTATAAATTGCTGAAAAATATAGAATTATAATTTATAATCTCTATACCACAATGATATCTTCAGAGCTATAATGGTTTAAATTAAAATTGCTGTTTATTTTTTTAAAAAAAACAAGTTATCCATTTAAAAATCTGACTTAAATGTAAAAATATTTTAAAATATTTTTCTGTGAAATAGCTGGTTTTTACCTACTCTGGAACACTTATTTCCAATATATTTTTAGATAAGCTCAAGATGGCCAACTGTCTCATCAGCTTTTTTTCATGCCCTTCTCCTCTTACCAGGCACGGCATGTAAGAAAGCAATGCAAGCAAAAACGAAAAGCACAGACCCAAAATTTAAGCTTCCCCTTAACTCTGAGAAGAGGGAGCACCAACAGCCAATTGAGATGGAGTTCACTTGGCAATCTCACCTACAGGAGACTCATCAAATCAATGGGATTTACTTAAGTGTTCATTCACCATTCAACAACCAATTGAATAGTTCTACTCTACTCGGGTTGGAACTAGAACTGGATTCAAGCCAGAGATAAAATTTGAGAGGGAAGACATGTTAGGTTTGTTGCAACAGAAACCAGTACAGAGTCTTGTAGCAACCTAAGGACTAAGACGTTTTACTGGGCATAATATTCCAATGATTGTAGGCTTATTTCTTGTATATGAAGAAGAGCCCCCTCCCTTAAATATAGTAAGTCTTTTTTCAGCTTCTTCTAAGGCTAGAACCTACAGAAGCACTTCATCACTTCATTTATTTAAATTCCATTCATATGGCGTAGGAGGACAAAAATGGTTGCCTGGGTATGCACAACTACAGAATGGAGCCCTAGTGTGTGTAAACCACACAGCCTGAATGAGCCGCATGTTCTCCTGGATGGCTCACTAGGATGCTCAGTTATACATGAACGCTATCAAGGCACACTTGGATTTTTAAGAAGAGTTTACACAGAGGTACTGATCAACTGAACCACTGAGCTGATGGTTTGGCACAGCTTAGGAAACAAATTCCAATAGCAGTGCACTTCTCTCTACTAAAAAAAAAAAAAGATCATGCATTAAAAAATGAAGGAAGCAGAAGCAATCTGTTCTAAATTGCTTAGGTCAACTATGGGGTGCCAGCTGTGGCACAGGCAAACAGTGCAAACCTACAGTTATGTATGCATTTTGTACTCAACATGCAAGAAGCAGGAGGAAAACTTGCTTCCACTCATTCAAAATTATTATGTGAACCAATCTGTTGTCATATTTGTAACTAAATGAAGAATTTGCTAAACAACTGGCAATTTTTTGAACTTTTCTTTCCTAGCAAACCAGTTCTTCCCAATATCATTATATGATTAGCCTGAGACAGGCTAACTCACTGCATCAGAACTGAAAAGTACTTCAAAGGTCAGGTAGTGCTCTACTTCATCCAAGAATCCTTAAACTGCAACATCCTTGATATGGATGGTTATCTAGCTTGAACTTACACCCCTCTAGCGAAGAAGACGACACACTGCAAAGAACGTCCTAACAGTGAGACCCATCTCACAATGAAATACAGTGGTGCCTCACTTAACAAGCGCACCGTTTAACGACGAATCCGCATAGCAATGTCGCAATTGCGATCGCAAAAGCGATTGCATTGTGATGTTTAGATAGGGAAAAACTCGCATTGCGATGTTTACAGAACAGCTGATCGGCAGTTCCAAAATGGCCGCCACAAGTGTTTTTGCACCCTGCCCTCGCTTACCGAGGGTGCGAAAATGGCGGCGCTATGGAGGAACATCGCTGAACGCTGAGTTTAGGGCCCCATAGGAATGCATTAAACTAAGTTTAATGCTTTCCTATGGGGTTTTTCGATCCGTTTAGCGATGTTTCTGCATAGCGACGATTAATCCAGAACGGTAAGCTCTCCTTCCTTGAAGATTTTTAAGCAGAGGTTGGGTGGCAATCTATTTGGAATTCTTTAGTTATGGAATCTTGTAACTGGGCATTTGGTATCATTTTCTGAGGTACAGTACTTTGTACTTACCCCTCTTGAATTTCATTCTGTTGTTTTCAGCCTAGTGTTCCAGCCTATCAAGATCACTTTGAATTTTGTTTCTGTCTTCCAGGATATTAGCTATTCCACCCAATTGTGTCATCTGCAAATCTGACAACCATCCTTGGGGTTCCTTTCAGCTCTGCAATTTTGTGATCTCCCAAATCAGTTTGTTTCAAATAGACAATATCTTCAGAAGGCTTCTTCTAACATTTCACCGAAATCTGTTTCTTTAATATACACTCACTAGTTCTAATCCTGGCCTCCGGGAAAGCATAACGTGTGGTCCAAATTCTGTGTGACAGCTCCTCTGATACATGAAAACAGTTGAGTTAATGTTGTTTCTCATCCTAAACATGAAGAAGGTTCTGTGCACCTCATCCTGAATACAAACCTTCACATTCTGCTTTTAGACTGTTGTCCATCTACAGTGAGTTGTAAATAGCCACTTTCCCCATTTCTGCAAAAGACCAATAAATAAATAAATAAATAGGGCTACATCCTGAAAACTGCACGCCGTGTTTCATTCTTACTTCCATCCTGAAAAACTGCTGCTCTAAGGTTGTTTAAGGAAGAGCTGCTTTTGTGCACACAAAAAGCTACTATATACCTTTCAGTGCTTCTAGAATTAGGAAATATTGCAGAGCACCGGGACTTCTGCTTTCTCTCCTTCTCTGTTAAGTGGCATAAAGGGAAGGGACAGAGAGAAGGTGAATTTTCTAGCAACAGCCAGGCCTATATCACTCCCCACACCCCTTAAGACAATTGAAAACATTTCATAGATCGATGCAGAAATCTCGAGTGTTTGAAAAACTATGCTAGAATAAATCTGTTGTTTCTTATTCTCCAGGCCATTGTTCAAACTATGGATCTGCTCTACATGCTACCTCTGGATAGATTCAACACAGAGAACCTGCTGTACTACTTAAGAAGCATCTGCTACATGGATGTTGTCACTACTGATGCTGGATAGGACTCCATCCAAAAGTCGACCGATTTTGTTTGAAGAAATTTCAACTCATGTTCTAAACTTGGCCTTCATTCTGTTTTATTTCATGGGGGTTGTTATCATTATTACCTCTGACCAACTGGGATGGTATGTATCAAACAAAACATGCAATGAATGACAGGAATAAAGTAAGCTTTCAAAAAGCTACATTCTTGGTCCATTTGTCTCACTATAGTTTACACTGACTAGTAGTTATCTGGCAATGAATGGGAGTAATTTCTGTACTGGATAGCAATGACAATTTGGATTTATCAGCAATATTTGGAAGACAAAACTGAGCCCATATTATGACCAACTGGAATAACCTTTTTTAGGAGAACCTCCATCTGCACCATATCAAAATGCAGTATTATGAAACCTACATGTTTTCCCCCTTTCTACAAAAACATGAACTGGAAAAGGAACAAAGGCTTTATAGCTTGTCTCACATCTGGCAAACTGTGCAAGCCACTTCCTGTTAGAGCAGGCGTTTCCAACTGCTTGGCTTCCTGTGATGCAGACAACCTCGCTGGGTATGTGCGTATAGGAAAACAGAACTAAGATGGCTTACAGCATGCTTGAGGTTATTACAGATTTATAATGAACACAAGCAGAGAAAGCCACCAATTTGTTATGTTCTGAAAGATTGAATACCATGTTGGTTCCCTCATTGTCTACTTGGACATTTCTTAACATTGTGATAACGTACTGATTGTTGTTGTGATGTGCTGTCAAGTTGGAACAGGCTTATAGTAACCTTAATAAGGCTTTCAAGGTAAGTGAGCTATTTAAGGAGCACATTTACCTTAAGGGGTTCCACACACCCAGTGAATTTCCAAAGCTGAGCAGTGATTCAAACCCACTCTTCCTGAGTCCTAATCCATCATTCTATCTAAACCACAATGGGTATCCAAGTGAGTAACTGGTTGTCTACTGTGAAATATCACTTTTTTGTAACATTTAAAACTGAATGTTACCTATTTAAAGAGGAAATTTGTTTGTAATAATTTAATTGAAAAACAGGAAATGAGCAGCAGTAGGGTGAAGATGGTCTATATACTTTATCAGAATGGTACAGCAATCATGCACTGGGAGAAATGTTAAACTTATCTGGTATCTTCAAATGTGGGATTAGCAATGATAAAACCAACTATCTTATAGAAGAGATTAAAATTTTCTTAAATTTGAGAATCTTCTTGTTTCATTTCTATCAGAGACTGGAGATCATCAAGGCTGTTTTGACTTTAACATGCACCACCTCTAAATTATTTTGTCTTGCATCCATACCAGTCTCCCAAGATCACCAGCCAATAAGTTCTTCTCTCTCCTATACTTCATTTTACATTTTGTGAACATGCATAACATGTTTCATTTCTCCTGTGACCATAGTATTCCAGCTTTCTGGGCTTGTTGTTTTGCATTTTCTGATTTCTATTCCTTTGATTCATTTGCTTGAGTACCTCTTTGTTGGTCACCATTCTCAATTCAGGAAGTTCTTAACATCCCACAATAATTCTTCATTTTAAAAGCATCAGTCTTTGGTTTTATAACTGCCTGAGTTAAGTCCACAAATTTGTAACCATACACTGTACAATGTCCATTCTCAAGGCCCTTAAGTTTTTGTTTTGTTTTTTGTGAATATTACTTTCCTCATCTTAAAGAAGCTGCTCCAGGCCATTTCTATTCAGAGAGATGCATGGCTCTCTATTCTTTCATTGTCTGGCTAAGATTCCACTAGTCATCCAACCAAATTCCAGGGCACTTACATTTATCAACACAATTTTTAACTGCATTTATTGGGCTGCTTGCTTTACTTGGGAACACTACTTCTGCTTTTTATACATATCTTTCAGAGATGCTATTTCTCAAACATAAAATATAAAACAAATCTAAAAGTATAACATACCAGAGAGAATATAGTAAATAATTATTTGTTCATGTTAATACCAAGCAGCAATGAAAGCTCAGTACGTATATATGCCTGTACAGAAGACATAAGCAACTCAATGCCTTTCAGATTTTCTGGTCTACAAGATGCTTTGTGCCTGACCACTAGTCATCATGAGGAGAGTTGTAGCCCCAAATATCTAGAGACGACCAGGGTACCTAAGCCTGCTTTACAGATTACTCAAAATGTTAGCATCACTGAATAAGCACGTTCAAGCTAGCTTCCATTCATTTATGATGCTTGTTTCAGTTCACAAAAATTGACAATACTGCCCCAGTTCTAGACACCTTCATCAAAATTTAAGATACAATTACAACCCAGGCATCACTTGCCTTTCCTGTAGTAACAATAACTGTGTGCTGCCAAGTCAATTCCAACTTATGACAACACTTTCCAGGGTTTTCAAGGTGGAGAGTACTCAGAAGTACGGGATATAAAACGAACAAATAAATAAAATAAATAAAGAAGTTATCGCCATTCCCTTCCACGGGGGCGGGGGGGGAGGGAGGAAATCCCTTGGACTGTGCAGCTTGCCCAAGGCTACAAAGGCTGGCTCCTCTTCTGGGAGGCACAGGAGCGAATGGAACTCCTCACCCCTGGTGCTGGAGTGAGATAACCTAAACCACTGCTGGGAACAACTGCTATTGAGCTTCTGCTCTTCCTGAGAAGCCATTCTACTTCTTTGAATCAAAGGAAGAGATGCACTATTCCATGTCTTTGTTCTCAGGGGCCCAAGTACTCTTTAGCCTTTCTCCTCCTAATTTCATCTCCCTTCATGGTCACTCCACATGGTCATTATAACATCTCTGTGTTCTGTATATTCCCCTCTCTTCCCTAACCCCTTTTCTTTTTTTATACCTGGTCTATTACCCTGCTTCTTGTGGTTATAGATCATAAGACATCTTGGTTGCATTGGCACTCAGTGGTATATAAATTAAGGTAGCAGACCAAATGAAAATGTTATCAAAGGAAACTAAGACTGATAGATTGCAGGGGAACTTAGAAAGCAGTTTTATCTATCCCAAAGAGAAACAATGACTACAATTCTCACCAAGGCTTAAAACAGTTTTGGTTATTGTAGGGACCACCACTGCCCATTTCTGCTCCCCCATATGAAAAGTCCAGGCATTATGCTTCCAGCAGTGTATTTTTTTACTCTGGTCAAAACAAAAAAAGCAACTTTCAGTGAATGCACAAGAACACAAAAGAAGACAGGCTATGAATATTTTAAATATTTTATGACCTCTACTAAGTTCACTAAGCAAACCTAGCCTGTCAGAAATTAACTAGTACTTATCATTTCACCCAATATGTCATAACATTTTAAAGCAGTATCATTTCCCATCTCCATGCCTTTGAGGTACCCAACAGCATCACCTTTTGCTAAAATGTTTATGATGATTCTATGAGACCTCAACCATGTGTCCACCAGTGTCTGCTACAGATGCAGTTTGTACTTTGGCTGGCCATCACACGCAAGATAATATTAATTCTTCTCTGATGTCCTAAATACTTGAGGCAGAAGGTAACCTTCTACTGTCTAAGTGCAATATTAAAGGCTTCTATAGCAGAAACTTCACTGTCCTTCCAAGATATTCATTAGGATTGATCCCAAGCAATTCTGTAGAGAGGCTTCTCTACCACAAACCACCATTGCACGGTGATCATTTATTCAGGAGTATTTCTGTAAACCTGAGGAAAAACTGCTGATTACAAAGAGATCTGGAAAGTATCTAGGTGTATTGCTTAGTACAGCAATTTTTGCCTGGCATCAGTTACTTGTCGCTGAGCGACTATCTGCCTTTTACTTAGGACTGAAAAAGGGTTGTATATTCTAAAAAACTGACTACTCCTAAGAACCACACAACTTTGAGGCTGCACAAATTCTAAGTGAAGGTCAAGGAATGTTCCCAGTTGTTTCCCGCCTTTTCTGAAAACACCAGGTGACATGCATTTCAGACACTTCTTCAGACACCAGGTTGGAAAAGAGCAGATCAGTTACTAATATTAAATGACTTGGACATAAACAACCTACGACCTGTGTACCCTAATAAAAGTGACTTTCTAATTTTAACACATCTGCACAAGCATAAAACTGTCTCCTGCAATGATAGTACTCTACCATTCCTCCATAAGCGAGGTAAAAATCGTACACTAATTAGTTTAGTTGTCAAGAAGTATACACAAGACTGTACATCAGACTATACCCACTGTTTCTGACATGAAAGGGTTACAATGCTATTGCATTTGCCAAACTTCAAGGAGATGTTTAGTAGTGATCTACATGACTCGTACTACAAAGCAAACTTAGTTTTGTTGGGTTCTCACTACTACTGGCATGTTATATTTTATTAATTCAAACAAGTGAAAAATAAATAAAGTAGGAGCAAAACAAAATATTTTAAGCACATTTTAATCACACCAATTTCTCAAGAGCTCTGTTTGTGACAGCAAGCACCTGAAAAGGTTTGCCAAACTATGCAAGGATAATAGCAACTGTAAACATACAAGATCATCCTAGTGAGGTTCTTTAGTGCTCTTGAGATGGCACACAGCACAATTCACATGAAATACAGGACTTTCCCCTTTAAAATTGCAGAACTGAACTTAAAAGGAGGACAGCTGCATCTAGATTCGAACTGCTAAGTATGGAAAACAATTTCAATCCCTTCTTCATGCATATACTGTACTGTATTAAATTATTTAATGAATTATGTGCAGTCAAGCTAATTCCAGTTTATGACCGCCCTTGCCAGGGCCACCTAGGCATAAAGTACTGAGAAGTGGTTCAACATTTTCCTTCTTCTAGTGGCTCTTCAGAAATCTGTAATTTGCCCAAAGCCATGCAGGCTTACTCTTCTACAAGAAGGCACAGAGAAGAATCAAACTCTTGTCCCCCGATTCACTGAACTATCCAGCTAGTCATTAAGCTAGTATAGACATAAAATGTCCTTGCCCAAAGGCGCGCGCGCACACACACATACACACAACTTGCCAGGTTCTCAAAAGCAACACGAACCAATCAGAAAGGATAAAACATATACATGCATGGATTGGTCAAGTCTGAACTCAGGATTGCACGTAATTTCCTGTAAACATTAAACAAACAGTTGATTTTTGATCAAGCACCTCCCACTAGCAGTTAGCAATTCTTATCTCATCAGATAATCGTCCCAGCAATGAGTGATTACAGTCTATGTAAATTATTAACAACTGTCACTGTGCACTTATTAACACTTTATAATCATAGCCTTTTACCTGTGCAGACCAAGGTGTCACCTTTAAGCCCTACTGACAAGGAGCCCAGGTTATGCCAGATGACGTACTTAAAAGACTGGGGAGAGGGAAGTGAAGAGCCACAGCAGTACGATAGTGGCATTAATTTTACTGGCACTTCAGCTATCAGCAATGTCTTTTCTGGCCTATCATATTACTGGCAAAAGTATGGGCGCTGCATGTGTTCATTCTTAGCTATCAAGGTGTTAGTCGTCTTCTTCAATTAACATATTTGATAATGCCTTGCAGACATCAAGTTAGTAAGACAAGACAATCACAGGATCCAGCAGGACACTGCTTCTGCAGCAGCACTTACAAAGCTCTGAGCATGCCCATAGATCTATATTTTTAATTAAAATTCAACATATGGCTTTTTGACAACCAAGTTGATACTGTTTTTCAATTGCGGTGAAAGAGCTAGTGTTGGATTCTATACATGTCAGATAACTCAAAAGATGGGGCTAGTTCCACAGAAACCTAGTAAAATAAAAAGACTCAAGTGTTTTTAAGATAAAACATCAGACTATCATCATTTAAAGCATGTGATGGAAATTATCAAGTGCTCCTTTTACCCTCCATCTTTTTCATATGTAGCAACTCTTATTAGTCTGTTTCAAAAGACTAGAGAACAAACCTTTGAACCTAAAGAACATGCCTACAATATTAAGGGGAAAGGCCACACAGTTCACTGTTAGTTAAAGTACCAGCTTTGCTTGAAGGCTCCCCCTCTTTGCCCCCGTGCAATTTCCAGCCTCTCTGGGTAGGCCTTACAAAGATATTCGCCTCAATATCAGTTTCTGGGTCACTGACGATGATACAGCTAGACTAATAAAATATATGAATAATAGAACAATTTCCTAGATTCCTAAATTTTAAAATGTCCATTAACTTCTTCCCTCTCCCTTGTAACACCAAACCATAAGAACGGTATGTGAAAGTGTGAATATATGCATATATGTACACACACAAAATACTTCTGCCATTCACAGAAGTATTTAAGAGCAGTCATCCCAGGAACCTAACTGAAGATTACATGTAGTCAGTCAAACTGAGTCTTAAAGTAGTTAACATATTTGGAAAGCAAAATAAAATTATGTCTGATTTCTCTAGAAAGTTCCCATTCCTTTGTAAACCTGTGTCCACACTCTACACAATCTTTCCGTGTATCTTTGCAACTGCAAAAGATGGGAGGGTGTTATGGTAAACACCTGGCACAGTTTCATAAACCTAGCAACAGTTTTACTCCTATTACCAAAACAGGAATCTATTAGGCGAACACATTTCATACTTTTGGGTTAGGTCTACTTGTCTGAGGACAGAAGGCAAGCGCTGTATCTATATATCACAATTTTCTCATTAAGAGAAAGGTAGGAATCTATTTCACATGTAAGGTATCAATGCTATCATGGCGAATGTGGAGTGAACAAGCATCTTTTATGCTTAATATATCAGCCAACAGATTGCAACCCCAAACTCGTCCAACCTCAAACAAGTAAACCCATCTGTATTTGCTGCTACTTCTCTGTCCCCTGATACTCTCCTTCCATTAACTGCTAGTCACATGTTCTCATGTGATATCAGCCTCTTTGTTCTTTTGTCCCATTCGTGACATCATGCTGTACACCTCTAAACAGCTTACTGCTTTTTTTTTAATTATCAAGGTGTTTAAATTCCATCTTAGGAGTCACAACTTCCAACAAGGCTTTTCCTGAACCTACTAGCTTTATGTATTTAGCACAACTGCCTACTTCTTTTCACTTTCCTTATTTCTTATCATTTTCATCCTGACTGACATTGGCTGAAATCCTTCTGTGCAGCTCTGTATACATAATGTGACATTCTGGGATGCTTGCAATGTTGATGCATCACCTGTGAGTTGCATGCACCTCAAAATAATGTTTAATCAGGATCTGCCAGTGATAATGACATCATCCATGCTGTGCACGCAGAGCTATGTAACAGGATTCTAGCTTTCTATTTCAGTCTTAACATTTAGGGAATTATTTTGTTAAATAAAACAAATCTCAAAGTATTTCAAATTTATTTATGCTCTCAAGGTGACCGGAAAGTGATGCTGAAATACACAACCCTTTTCCCATGATGCCTTGGCAGTAGGTGGCTAGATGGCCAACATTAAAGACTGCTCCCTAGCATTAATTCTGCCATCTACTCAACATTATTCACTTTTCCCTTTCAGTGTCAAGCCAGCACTAATGGCAATCTCAAAACAATACGGAATGCCATATGGCTACATCTGGATATTAAAATTGAGAATATCAATTACCAATCCACTAATGCAAAGCCAAAAGCCACAGACAGTAAGAATTTAATCCAATTCAGGGACTGAAACTTGAGCCAACAGCAACATATACGAAGCAAAATCTACAGTGATTTCTAGCATTAAGTTGGATGATAACAATCAAAATTAATGGAAGAATGACTTTTATTTTTTTGCTAAAATCTATGAAAAAGAGCAACAAAGAACAAAAATAGGGACACATATTAATCAAACCAGGGGAGTTGTATCAGTGTTAAATAATGTGGTGGGATTGCTTGCCTCCCTAAATGCAATTTTACTGAGTGTAATGCTTCTTTTAAAAATTACTCCAAGATCACAAATCAGAGGTCTCCACCCAAACTTAACAAGGACTTCATGTGATTCCACACTGTGGTTGAGAAATCACAATAATGCCTCCTTGAACAGTGGTTGCTCTCTTAATGACTTAACTTTACTTCCTGGTGGTTCAACTTTATTGCGTACAAACAATCAGCAATGGGCTGGGCTGGTATGTAAGGGGGATGGCCTATAAGCAAAAGGCAATAGTGTGTTACTATAAATCTACTCCACAAATGCAGTTATTTTTCTCTTGGCTGGGT